GATTGAACTCAGGTCATCAGGCTTAGGAGTGTGTGCCTCTACCACCTTCTGATCCATCTTGCCAGTCCCACTGTTACTGTTTTATAGTGTGGAGGGAGTGGGGAGCCACGGTGAGTTTGTGAAATGTTACTCTAACTATTCTTTATCAATAAAAATGCAGGAGTCAAATATTGGGGTAAGAGCCTGAAAGATCAGAGAAGCGGAGAAACCACCAGTCCTCCCTACCTGTTCTGTTCCTTGCTCCAGAGAGCCAGATCCCTTTTCACCCCCGCCTTACTACTTCCTGTCCTATCTGTCCTCAGTCGTCCAAAACCTCCGTGGTTAGTTTTAGTCCGCAGATGTCTACATCTGCCCTCTGACTCCAAGCAAGCTTTGTCAGAACATGATCAAAATATCATACAAGTTTGGGGAGGAAAGAAAGGATCAGCGGATGCTGGTCTCCTGGGGAGCATCTACCTATCTCCCCGTCTGTCTGAGCTTCACCGACTTGAGCTGTGCACGCAGAGCAGCCAGCTCTGGGATCAGAGGTCCCATTGTCAGTGCGCAAAGGACAGAGACTTAGTCAAGAGTCCTTGAAAGGTGTTGCTTACTGGAGCTGTGTAAGCAATGAATTAAACAGCCATTTTCTGTGTCGATGTGTGTTTTAAAGAGAAGCAGAAAGAGCCTTGCTTTGGGAGAAAGGCTAGGGGTGTGGCTGCTCCTGTAGTCTGTGGTTCCTGTAAGGCTTGCTTTCAAGCTATCCTGGCTTCCCGTGTCCACTGTCTCCGAACATTGAAGCTACCTCTGCCTCTGAAACTGCTCTTGTCCAGGGCTACAACTTTCAGTCTTCCTTCATGACAGAGGCCTGAAATCTCAGTCAGCAGCCAGGTGGGGAGGAGAGAGGAGCCAGCGTCTGGCCAGGCCTTTAGTTTAAATCATCGTCTGTCCAGACAGGACAAGGAGCACACCCCTGTCTGCTTCCTTTAATGTCTCTAAGAGATTCTGCCAGATGCTTTGCTTCATGTTTTGACGTACATTTAAAAAAGGAAAAACAAAACAAAAAAAGCACAGGAGAGGTGACTAATTCCATGGAAAATTTTTGTGTTTAACATTCTTCTTAAGTATTCTGATTACTAAGTGGGGTCTCCCAATAGCACAGTCATCAAAGAGAAGTAGACCCCAGATGAGCTGTAATCTACACTACACACCTAACTACCTACGATACCGTAAGCATACCATTCATATAAAGATGTCTTTCACCTGTAAAACAGGAGCATGAACAACCTCATAAAGATTAAAAGACATATTGTATACGAAGTATTTCGCACAGTTTAATTAAGAATCTTGATAGGGTCTCGTATAGTCATGGCTGGCCTTGAATTTCAAGGATGATCTTGCACTCCTGACCCCCATGCCTCTACTTTCCTAGTGTTCACACACTACCATACCTGCTTTATAGGATGTTAGGGATTGAATTCAGAGCTTTGTCCGTGTGAGGTAGGCATTACACCAACTCTGGGACATCTCCAGCCAGAAAAGAACTATTTTTAACTTATAGCTCTGTCACGAATCCAGTCCTTACGGTGTTGATTTGAGTATATGGTCCTGTGTGCACACTCACGTGATATACTCACGATACACCTAGTTTTCTCTGATGTCATCTGGTAAGACTTTTTCTTTGAGATCACAGGGTCAGACTTCTGACCTATCAGTGGGGTGACATGGACATTCTTGGCATCAGTCATCCAGGGAAGGGGTGTGCCCACAATTCAGAATCTGGAATTAGACCAGGGTCGTAGATGCCCCTTTCTCATTGTCCTGTGTTTGGAGCTCCAGGGACATGGGAAAGGGCGTATCTGCTATAATGTCAAGGTGGGCACCAAGAGCCAGATGAAAGATAGCCAATGGCGTCAAATAAAATAGGCTTCATATTGTACAGGGAGCAGGTTGCAGCCTTGGTGAGCACTGTGGCGTTAGTCAATCCCTCGTGTGCATGTAAACTATTGGAAAAGCAGACTCTCTGAGTAGAAGATGAATCTCAGGACAGAGATGGGGTTTAGTTTCCCATGTCTCTTCCTATATGAAATCCACTTACAACAGTGGATTTCCTTGCAAGCCCTTTAAAACTTTTCAAAGGTTCCTGGCTTTATCAATGTTCTATTGCTATGAAGAGACACCAGGACAACTCTTACAAAGGAAAACATTTAATTGGGGCTGGCTTACAGTTTCAGAGGTTTAGTCCATGACCGTCATGGTGGGAAGTGAGGCAGCCTGCAGGCTGACATAGTTAGTGCTGGAGAGGTAGCAGAGAGTTCTACATCTTGATCCACAGGCAACTGTGGAAGTGAACTGTCACACTGGGCATGGCTTGAGCATAGATGAGACCTCAAAAACAGTGACACACTTCCTCCAACAAGACTACACCTACTCCAACAAGGCCATATCTCCTAATAGTGCCACTCCTTATGGACCAAACATTCAAACACGTGAGTCTTATGAGTACCATACCTATTCAAAACACCACTCCTCCCAATCCCTGTCTAATAGCACCTCTCCCTAATGAATAAGCATCTAAATATTCGCGCCTAGGGGGCCATTCCTATTCAAACCACCTCAGTTCTCCAAGACTTATGACTTCGGTAGCTCGGGGTAGTTGGCTAGGATTCCAGTACCAAGCATGGTTTTCCCTCTTGCTGAGTGGGCCTTAAGCCTAATTAGAGAGCAGCTGGTCACTACCCAGGTGTGCATGAGAACAGCTGGTTACCACCCAGGTGTGCATGGCACTACTGCACTCTTAGGCTGTCACACAGTGACAGCTGGTTAGGGTTCATAGGATCATAGCAAAGTAGGTTTGTTGGTTACTCTTCTTTGTTTGTTGGTTACAAGCTTCTTTGGAAGCTTGTACTGAAGGGACCAGCTTCCCTTTTGGCAGCCATAATGGCAGAACACATGCTTGCCATAAACCTGCCTTGGTCACTTAGAGGTCAGATGCCTGCCTCATGACAAGGAACCAATCAGAAGTTAGCTGGTGGCGCTGTGCTTTACGACCCTGGGTGTGCTTTACAGACAAGCGCACAGCAATGACGTAGAGAGCATAGCAACCACCCTGGGAGGGCCTATGGGCCATAACAACCAGTTGACCAATCAACACAGGGCAAGCCCTCCAAGCCTGGAGGCACACC